GTAATTCCGTGGCTTTGCTATATTTACGCACACCAGTGTCATGTTTAGATGTTAAGTATATATACTCTGGCTTTTTCTCCTTCTTTTCTTCTATTATATAGTTTGAAAACAAGCAGTAAGACTCCCAATTTTAGCTATTGTAAAACAAACAATGACTTTGAAAAGCCAACAAGTATACAAAATAGACAACAAGATATGACAAGACGCCAAAAGTCGAAAAAAAATTGTTCGCTCGCGTTAGGGAAGCCTCACATATCGATTTTTCCACGAGAAACGTCATATGTTCGTTTGGGGGTGGGGTGGGGGGGGGGTTGGCAGCTGTGACGTTTCTCTGTAAACATCATGGGAAAATTCGATAGTTTTTATCTTTGCAGAACGTAAAAATGAAAATAATTTGATACAAACAGCAGTCTATACATTCGTAATACCATGCCTGTTCTACACGTATACATTTATATTATTACGCCTTCCTTGCATTGCAAACACTCAAATTTCAAGAAAAACGTGCTAAAATTATCAATATTTCATGCAAAAAAATTTGTTTTGAGTAACGTTGGAAATTTTGAAGTTCATATTTATAATAAAAAAAGAGTATGTCAGCAGAAGATGACATATTCCTCGCGGAAGCATTGCCAATAGCCGACCGAAAAAAAATAGTAGCAGAAAATTACCTTATGTGTACTATAAGAACAAAATATCGATAACTATGTGTGACGTTTCTAAGGGGGGGGGGGTTGGGGGGTCTCCAGAGAAACGAACATATAACGTTTCTCATGGACAAAATCGATATGTGAGGCTTCCTTAATACCTGATAGTTTACTTTTCACCACAAAAGTGTTTAGGATTTCAAGCTACAATATACTAAAAACAAACCCGACAAACTGAAATATTCAATGAGAAAAAGGCCATAAAACTGAGCAGAAATTTTCAGTTTTAACCACCTCTGTCTCTGAATTTTATTACAATTTCTCTGAGCATGTTCAGCCAAACCACATGCAAAGTAACAATTAAAAAAACTGAAAATAATTTCGAAGTCATCCTCCTTTTACAGCTTAGTGAAAATGAGCTAAGTTTTGTCTTTAGGTAAAAGAAAGTAAGGAAATTTACAGAAAGTAAGGGGCCGATTACATGGAGGTTTTCAGCCCGGGATGAAATTTCAGCCCGGCAAACTGGGATGATATTTCAGCCCGGGGCCCCTATAAATTCAATATAAAATGAATTTTACGATTACATGGAAAACATTTCAACCCGAGCTGAATTTCAGCCCGGGCTGAAATTTTCATCCCGGTTTATGTCACCCGCGTGATGAGATTTTCAGCCCTGTCAACCGGGATGAAATATCCCATGTAATCGCAAATAATTTCAGCCCGGGCTAAAAAAAACAATCGTTTAAATGGCTTTATTTTGCATTTCGTCTCATCTTTCATACTGTATATGCAACCACAGTTTACACAAGTCAAATAGTCGACTAATCGGCGTTTTAAATGCTCAAACAAGCGGAATATTGCCTTTCGTGATATCGTATGATTTCAGCCCTGGATGACATTTCAGCCCGGATTTGTTTACTACAAGGGATAATTATTGCTCTGACTAAAACACAGCCCAGGTTCAAACTGCCCATGTAATCGTGATGCTATTTCGGCTCGGTTTACCGGGCTGAAATTCAGCCAGAGCTGAAATTCAGCCTGGGCTGAAAACTCTCCATGTAATCGGTATAAAATATACCCTACAGAAATTTTCTCGGTCATAGCACTATCTACTTAATCTGAAAGAATGCTGTAACTGCTAAAACCATGTAAATTACTAATTATAGCTATTTTTAAGGAAATGCATTTTCGGGTTTAATTCCCAATGAAAATAGCAACTATTTATGAGAAAATAGCGACCGGAACTGTCCGGAATGAACAAAACATTTGTCGATTTCAGTCACGCTATATGTCGAAAATACCCAATATTCATGGCCTCCGTACGAACTCTAAATACAATAACCTAAACTAATTTTTTTGTATCTTATAGAAGAACA